ACATGTGATAAAATTGGCCAAGCAATGGATAAAGAAAAATACTCATAAATTAGGTGAAGAAATATTTGGTTAAACATAATAAATTTGGTTCTATATGACATAATATCAGACATTATTAAAGTTGTACATTTTTTTAATTTTATGCTGGACATATATTAAAAATGATAATAAAATCTGAGAAAAAAGACAAATAAATCTGTGTCGGAGGAATGCTGCCTCACAAAGCTAGCATCCTTGCCTGTCATTACAATTTGCAGGTGATTTATTACCAGACATGTAACCATTTTTTCCATCTTAATTTGAGTGAGATTGTAACATTATGTTATGGATAGGTTACATTTTGAGTAGTAATTCTGATCTCTTTGAAAGGTTGTAAGGTGCATCTGCATTGTATGAACTGTTTTATTTCCTTAATATCAATACTTGAATAATTTTTTTTTAAACAACATCATCATCTTTGCGAATACCTGTACATTCAATGTCAAAAATAATTATTCCACAATCTGATGTTTACACAAATTTGACAAAATGGCACATATAAAAAGTATTAAACACTTTAGATACACAAAAACAGATTTTCTAAAAATCTTCATACTAAAAAAAAAATAATGGATTCCATAAAATGCCAAAATTTTAAGTTTTCTTTACTTTTTGAAGAACTATATTCCACTATGTATATGACATCATTTATTATATATCATTTTTAAGAAATGAATGTACATAAAAGTATATTGCACATTGATACATCTATATTATGGGACCAGCAAAAAAAATATATATATTAGTTAATGATACTGGCAATAGGTTCTCATTTAAAGAGACATATTGCTGTCACCAAAGACGTAAATGTAATTAATTTATAATTATATATAAAAAAAATACAGTCACTTTATTATCATAAATCCAAGCACTGACCTACTTTAAGAAACATATTTTTCAAGAGTAAAACCAATAACCATTTATAGATCGTATATCTCAGCCATTTATATCAAATTTGAACATTCCCAATGTAACTGTATAGTTCAATTAAAATCAAAAAAAAAAAAATTGTTGGCAATGAAATATGTGTGCATGGTTCTGAAATTAGTAATGTTAAGGGTTAATGATATTGATCAAATTTTGTCAAACTGCTAGGGCATACTTACTGTAAATTCTTGAATATCCATCAACTTTGGTTACAGTCCACAATGACAATGGAATATGGATAGCAAAAAGAACAGTCATAAACACTGTCAATGTACAAACTAGAGATATTGGGTTTACAATAAAATGAATGCAAATGTTAGTCATTTTCAATTTCCTATATGCAAATATGTTATGTTTTAGGATGTTTCATTGTTTATACATGTATATATTTATTATTATTATTGTTTAATATGGTAATCAAGTACTTCACAAATTATTTTCTGGCTATTCTGTGATATTAAATTTCCTAAATGATTTTTTGGAGGCTTTTCTTTTAAAATGATGATTTCTCAGCATTGAAATTCCTATTGGTGCCTTTAAAATAAACAAATATTATTTATATAAAATCCATATTTTCATTTTATAATTAAATATATTTTATAACCACCTGACACTGTTGAATCATATTGTTGTTTTGGGATGACTGTTTTAATATTTATAGTAATAAAATAATTGTTAGACAAAACTTGTTCTAAAAACAGATATCCTTTGGTTAAATTAAAATGTTGATGTAAATTCGTAAGAAAGTTCATTAAGCATTTGATAACTTTAGAACTATTTGATATTAGGAACTACGGTATTGGCTCAAATTGCATGACCTGTAGCTATTATTATGACATTTAATTCATGACATTTATTATTAAGATATATTAATTTATAAATATCACACATCTAAATAAAGAATTCAATATAATATCCAAAGTTTTTCCTTCCTTGATTGTTCATCTTTATTTTGTTTAATCATATTCTGTAAATGCATTACAAGATTCTTTGTGAAATATTATATTTATTACATGTAATTTTTTGTTTCTAGAATGACATTTATTGCAAATATTAGTTTCACTCCCAGAGACAATTTCAGTAAATTTATTTTTTTTGTTATATCCGTTTTTTGATATTTATAGCATGCTTGGTTGTATAAATCATGTGTTCAATGGCAGATAACCCCCTGTCTCCCTTGCCCCACCCTAAATAACAGTATAACAAATTCACTTATTATTCTGATTCTATGAAAGGTGTAAAGTTGACCTTTTTATTGGTTGGGTGAAATTGAATTCATATTTGGGTCCGGATATGCAGCACAAATTTTCTCAGTAGAGGACCCCGACCCCCTGACCAAATATCCTGCCTATGCCACTGTCGGTGTTAATCTTAATGTTAGTCTTTCTCAGATAAAACTGTCCTATCAAAAATGTATTCAAAACAACTGTCTTGCAACAAGTTATGGAGAGGGGTCTATAGGACTCTGCCTATTCTCCAATCCAGTTTCTGTGAATAAATATTGTTTAAAAAAATAAGAAGTTATTACAAAGAACTGTCTTATATAAAGGTATTAAAAACAATTGTCTTTAAAGGTCAGCACACACTGCATCTGTTGTTCATTACTAAAACATAACATGATAAGATATGCTGAATAAAATTGCTGTGTTAAGAAATAGAAAGCAATCTGTATAGATATAAAATAGTTCTGTGTGTTCTGACCTTTATAAATGTACATATATTTTGTAATAAAGTCATGTGATATTTAAACTGTTATGAAATAGGGTTTTTTTTGTATTTTTTATATATTCACATCTTAAGGCATTTGAGGTATTGTTAATCCCTTGCAAACTACAATATTGTGAAAGTTGAACCTGTAAAAGGAATATCAGTCCAAAAATAGTTCATTTCTGTTTAATATTCACATCTTAAAGTCTTTGAGCATGATTTGAGGTATTATTAATCCCTTGCGAATCAAAATAAAGGAATATGAGTCCAAAACGGTTCAATTATGTTCAGTATTTACAAAGATATGATGAATTAAAAAACATTTGCAGCATTCTTTGCAGATGATTGAAATGGGATAATGTCCACATAATCAAGCACCACCTATGTGTTTTGATGGGCCTCTCTTAATCTGGTTGAATTCCAGCTGACAACCTGATAGATTATCTTAAGTTGATATTTTGATTTTGTATCTTAAAGAGCCATTATGCATGAGCTAAATCTGCATATTGCAGGTCTTTCTTTAGGCCCTAAATGTTATATTAGACATTTATTAACATGAGAAGACCATAATCAACTCTCGATGCCATCGGATGGGTCCGATTTTCAGTAGTTTAGAACGGTTCGGCCATTTAATGAATTAATTTAAAAATGGAAAAGTAAGGCTAAGACTTGAATAACCAGCACTATAGTTACGATAATAAACAATCAATGCACACATGTTGTCAAAACTACAAACAGAGATTACTTGCTCAGAATAAAGTAATTTGAATGAAATTTTCAAAATATCCATTTTGCATTATCTATTTTTGAAGTACTATAGAAAGAATGGCCAGTTCTTTATCTAAATCATACATAATGTATTTTTAATTAAATCTTAAATAATCAATTTGACTACATTTTAGTGTGGAATAAACTGAAAAATATTTAGATATTATTGAAAAAATGCAAATGGTGACCAGTGGCTTTAATTTGTGATAGTTATGACAAATGTATGTACGAGTACTAGTATTGTAGTAATTCCATGATATACTCATAACATATTGCCCAGGTCTGTTAACCACAGTACCTAAGATCTTTTAGTAGTTAGGCAAATAACATTCAAATTAGAATACGAGCACTGAAATATGCATAGGTTTCCGATTAGGGTCATTTATTAAGAAAATCATGTTAGCCACTTGAATTTTCAAAAATGGCTGCCATTTTCCAAGATGGCGGACATCTTCGGCTTTTGTTGCACAGAATTTTACCCACTGGACCTATTAAAAGGATTTTATACGCTCACACTTTCATCTGGGTATATTATGTCGTCGCCTATATCCATCTGTCTGGACGTCTGTTTAGATTTGTAGACAGTCAAGAGATCCAAGAGAGAGAAATGGGATTTAACGTCCATTCAACACAAACCAGGTCATTTCAGGACTAACACATGGTTCAATTTTATTTCAATAATTTGCTTGTGCATAGGGGTCTTTAGCAGTGGGAGGAAACTGGAGGTCCCAGAGAGAAAACCAACGAGGTTGGACAGGGATAGAATGTTCAAACATGGTGTAGATAGATGTTCGTTAGATGCGCGCGATGATGAACATTTTCTGTTTGGACTAAGCAGGGATAAGCCATTTCTGTTGTCAAGGAATGAAATGAAATTTAACATCTTCTTGTTCTGCACCAACCAGGCAAATATAAACAGGCATACACCATGCAGTGTGCTATGAGTAACTTGCACGCTGTATAGACAGGATGTCAGTTTTTTGTCACAATCGGACACCTTCTGTCCTGCACCACTGACAGTGGAAAACCAGTGACAGTTGAGAATTCGGAACACAATAACTCTGTTTCTATTGGGGTAAAATGTTCATTAGGTGATTGTTTTCAATAAGTTGATGATCAGCATTTGCACTTGGGCTAACCAAAGATAAGCAATTTTATTGTTGAATATTTGACTCAGTTTCTAGAACTCAGTAACCCCCGATTCTGAGTGAGAGGAATGAAACTTGGCTTATAGTATGGTTAGATCAATACCTTGATAATGATTATTTATTGCTCAGATTAAGAAGAGTCATAAACAATTTGATAAGTGTTCCAGTAATGTGTTATGGGAATTTTTCTTGTATAGTCCTTCTATACAAGACTTTAGCTATTTCTATGGTTAAATGTGCAATGCAAGGGAGAGAATTTTGCTCTGACAGAAGCTTTTCCACCATGGTTTTATTTTTTAACATTTTCGTCCAATCTGCAGGCACCATCCCTCAATTTCTATATAAGGATTATGCTTTAGACATAATTTTCAGTAAAAACAAAAGGTGGACAAGTTTTAATTAAGGAACATGGACTAATCAAAATAATTTAATATTTCAATAAATTCTTGTTTTATCTACATATTTACAATTTATATTTCACAGTCGGTTTGAACATCAATAAAATTGATTTATCTTAAGTTACAAAACACGGTTGATTAATATTTACATATTAAAAGACTGACACAATATCTCTAGATTTATAATAAAAATATTACTAGATTATTCCTGATGTTCGTCAAACCTACAATAAATATTGTAGAAATGTTACCATTAAATATCTAGAGCTGGAACATTTAATTTAATATAATGGCTTGATTCAATATGAATTACCCTATAAAATGTTGAGGAACAGATGACTTTGTGTTCCACCATTCAACTGTCGATAGTTGAAGCCCAATATAAGTCTAAATTAAGTTGGCAACCTGACTTTCCACTTAATATTTCGAAACGAAAATTTAATCGTATAGAGCTAACAGATTAACCTAACTGAATACTTTATTTTGTCCTAAATCAAAGAGATTTGGCACATTTAAAGTTTACTCAAACTAGTATCAATATTTTTCTTCTGATGTATTACACCAACTCAATCCACAAATATTGCAAGCATCTGGTTGGTAATTACACATTTGATAATCCTTTGCATGTCATTTTTAAAATAGTTTCCAAAACACAGTTCTATTTTATCCATTTTTTCCTCTTTTATCCTTTCTTCATTAATCAATATATTTTATATTACACATGTATTCTGAAAGAAAGAAAATTAAGAAAATGTTATATAATTCATTTGGAAAGTGAAACTACAATAATTTTATTACCACTAATCACACTTAGTCTTAAGTTGTAAGTAATGGGGTGAGAAATAAAAGAGAAATCGACCGCCACCGCCACAAATACACTATTACAGGACCACATTATGGTATATCTATATTTTACTGATGTGATGTCATCATTTGATGTTTGTGTACATGATTTTATACTAGATGAAATATTGGACTCGAGTGACAATTTTATTGAAATGCACATCCATGATATAGTGTTTTAAGTTGTTTAATGGTCTCGTGCAAGACAGTGTGTAATATATGGAAACAAAACTCGAACTGAAGTCCTTATGCAGTATCAATATATTACTTAATGGCTTTCTCTTGTAAATTAATACTAAACTTCGTTAATCAACACTTGGAAGATAGACATGAAAGGTGACCAATTTAAATATACTCAGCCAAATTAAAAACTTGACACTGATGAATTTCAACAAAAAAAATTTTCTGGTAAGTCAAATAAATTTTAAAGTGTTTCTAACGATAATAAGTAGTAAGAAGCCTTTAATTTCATAAAATTGTAAAGTCACGTGGATCACGTGACTTTTGAGCATATAAAGATGAAAAACACGTGCAAACACAAACTCGTGAGGTCAATCGATGCAAGTTTGCTTAAACTGAACACGCACACGTAACTTGAACTGGAAAAACAAATTAAAATTGTTATTTTCATCTTTGTTAGAAAATGCTGCGCCTTTCAAATGTAGAACGTCTATGTGCTATAGGTAGGCTCTATGCTGGTCAGTCTGTGGTCACTGTTGCAAGAGCCTTTAATTGTTCACGCCAGACAATAATTAATCTTAGAATGAGAGTGCTGGAACTATTGCCGACCGCCCAAGGGCGGGAGCGCCACGTGTGACGTCACTCCAGGAAGATCAAGCAATACGATTACGTCATCTTAGAAACAGATTTGTACACAACCTCCACAAGTAGAGAGATGTTTGGTGGAAGGGTAACTGCACAAACTGTTCGAAATCGCTTGCAGGCTGCTGGTCTTCGAGCTCAGAGGCCCTATAATGGACCAATATTGAAACCTCTTCATCGCCGTAACCGACTTGTGTGGGCTACAAGACGCATAAGATTTACTCAAAGACAGTGGAATTCGGTTGTCTTTAGTGACGAATCTCGATTCACTTTGAGATTTGCCGATGGCAGGGTCCGAGTGTGCCGCAGACGAGGTGAACGTTACACTCAAGTATGCGTCAGAGAAGTTGACCGATTTGGTGGCGGCAGCGTCATGGTTTGGGGTTCTTTTTGTGCACATGGACGTTCTCCTCTTGTTGTTGTCCAAGGGAACTTAAATGCTGTCCAGTACAGGGATCAGATTTTGCAACCCGTTCTTCTTCCGTTTATGCAGAGACATGGGCCTGGACTAACGTTTCAACAAGACAATGCTCGACCCCATACAGCAATTGATTCCCAGAATATTTTAAGAAATGCCGGTGTCCAAGTCCTGGATTGGCCGTCGCTTAGCCCCGACCTTAATCCTATTGAACACATCTGGGACGAACTGGGTCGACGTGTTCGTCAGCAAGTGAATCCACCACTGACGTTGCAGGACCTTCAACATGCTCTTGCTGAGCAGTGGCGACGTCTGCCTCGGGTAGTGTTTACTAATGTTATGAGATCCATGAGAAGACGTTGTGTGGCAGTACGAGACCCTAGCGGAGGTCACAACCGTTACTAAACACTTTATTCCAATTGTTCTCCAAGTCTGTGAATTTCATTTTGGGGGGTACTGAGACATCATGAACGTTATCAATGTCAAGGACTTTCGGCGAGATGTATTCTTGCTTTCTGTTGATGTCAAGGTCGTCTGTGCACAACATAACACTAAAATAGTTGCCTTTAACCAAATATTAAAAATCTAGTCCCAAAAATCCCGAGTGTCAAGTTTTTAATTTGGCTGAGTATACTACAAGTGGGATAGTAGGGTATCTCTAGGGTATCTCTTTAAACCTACCAACTGTAAAGAGTATACAAATTTTTCAAGGCACTAATGATTTTAATTTCCAACCTTCTAAATCACAGCTGTGTATTACACTACTATCTTTGAATCAAAACTCAATATTTTAATAATATTAGAAATTAAAAACCAGAATTAGCATTCAATCTTGGTCCATTTCAATCAATATTGAAGTTGTTATCTTCCAGGTAAAATATGAGATCCTAATTATAATATCCAATAATTTAAGTAAGACACAATGAACATTTTATAATCTATACATGAATCATGTATTCAAACTTGGTCCATTTCAATCAATATTTAAGTTGTTATCTTCCCGGGAAAATATGGGATCCTAATTATAATATTCAATATTTAAGACACGATGAACATTTTATAATCTATACATGAATCGTGTATTATGATGTTTCGGGCACCATTTGTAATGAACAAAGAAAAACATATCCTACAAGACAATTTGGAAGTAATTAGTAATAACTGATTCAAAAAATAATAAATAAATGTGTAGAATGGGCGTAAACAACTGTCTTCAATTTGGACTGTTCACATATTTCACCAAACATAATTGATTAGAAATTTCATAATTTTTTTAAAAATTTAATATAAATCACTTTACATACATTCATATTACATTAATATGTGCTTTTAGACACAAAGAATAGACCTACATGTCCTTTTAACTATCTGATATTATGTCAGATATGACTTACCTATTATAATTATCACAGGTACCAATTATCTCACACATTGATTATGTATCAACTTTTTTTATATCTAATTCCTCTGCTCTCCATTTTTTCGCCTGTTCATGTAACATCTTTCTTTTATGTCTGTTAAAAAATATTTGAGAATTAATCAGACAATATATTATAATGCAGTGTTACATAAATTACCTTATAATGCAGTGTTACATAAAATACCTTATACTGCAGTGTTACATAAAATAGGGTTACCTTATAATGCAGTGTTACATAAAATAGGGTTACCTTATAATGCAGTGTTACATAAAATACCTTAAACTGCAGTGTTACATAAAATACCTTATACTGCAGTGTTACATAAAATAGGACTAACTTATAATGCAGTGTTACATAAATTACCTTATACTGCAGTGTTACATAAAATACCTTAAACTGCAGTGTTACATAAAATGTTTGCATCAATATTTTTAAATAGGGTACGATCATAAGGGGTTTCACTGTATCTCAATTATCATGATTACGAGGTACGGTAGCTCAGTGGGTAAGATGTTGGCCTAATAACCTGGTGGTCCCATGTTCAATCCTGGTACATTAGGTACTGCTGACGGATATTGCCATGTTTATTTGATTGCTAGTATTGTTTGGATTGAGAAAAGCAAACTCCATTCAATCTATTACCATCTATGTTTAGATCAAGGAAATGGAAACATATATGCATGTGAACAGAAAATTACGCTTTCAATGGCTGTTATGTACTATGTTTATCAAAATTCGGATCAACAGTTTGATAATAAAACATTATAAATTAAGATTAACTTTCTCAGAGAATGCCTAATGAAATAGACCAATAGTTAAATACATACGCTGCATTTTTTTCAAGATCTTTTAGTATGGCTACATTCTTTCTACTGTGTTCATCTAATTGAGCTATATGCCGTCTAGCTGTTCCCCTACAAACAAAAAACTCAGAGAATAATAAATTTGATTAACATAATTCAAGATAGGTTGCCAGGCAATGTAACTAGCTCACCATCAGCTAAGCTGTCATAACTGTCAGAAAGCTCTTGTCAACTTTAACTGTGAGTAAAGTGTTTGATGACAAAATGGCTCTGAATTCAATAAAATTCTGTCTCATCTCATGTCCTATAAAAAGTTATCTTAACTACATTTGAAAGATCAGAAGCAGTGGCATGTAGAGTATTTACAAGATTTATATGACAGGCACCATGCACAAAATTCCGAATTTTGTTGAGGTACATTCTTGTGAGTAGTCACTAGTCAAACACCCAACAAATTCAAAACAAAATTGAAAAAAACTCTGCAATGTAGAATGATTACAAGATCTCCATTACAGGGGCAATAACTCTGCTTTAAATTAAAAAAAAAACTTTGTGTTTCTACAAATGACTAATCAAACAATTTAAGTAAATTCTTTTTTAAATTCTAACTATTACCAGTGCAGCAATTACAAGAATCAACAATGGTGACGACAAGGTGGGCATATGAAAATGATCTCTTAAGACATTTTTGACTAGGGGCTTGGTCCTTATTCAAGAAGACTAAAATTGTTAAGTTACTACCTGGATATCGAAAGGAATATGTCTAGCTATTGTTTGTTAATTATACCTCCATAATTGAACTTTCACTTACTGGAAATAATTCAATCATCGAGTCCCAGACTCTACAACTGGCAATTTCAAAACGTTTTAATTTTTCAACACAATGTATTAAAGCTGTCAACCTTTCTGTGTATTTTTCAGACAATATCTAATCCCCATTTACAGTACACAAATTGATTACTTAACATTTATTTAAAAAAACAAAACCAAAATTTCAACAGTAGATAATGTCCTCTACTTGTATTCAATCAGATTAATTACCTAACACTAATAACAGATATCACTGGCTTGTTCCTGTCGTCTACAGAGGATATCAAAATTGATTATTTAACAATTAAACATACATTATGCAAAAGCAGGTCTTTCTTTAGGCCTGAAATGTTATATAAACTATTAATTAGACATTTATTAACTTATCCAATGAAACAATTATCAACTCTAAATGTCATCTGATGCTTCCAATTTTCATTAGATTTGAATTTGATCTACTGCTCAACTCAACAACCATTGATGATTAAACGCAAAAATGGATAATCAAGACTTTTTTTTATCTATTGAAGTAATTTGACTGTAATTTTCAGAATATTATGGTTACATTATATATTATTTAACTATTATAGTGAGAACTGTCAGCTCTTTATCTAATCTCCTATAATGTATCTTTAATTAAGAAAACAGAACCAAAATATCAATGGCATATAATACCAGACTTGGATTCAATTGGATTAAAAAGAGGCTAATCAAAAGATTTGACCCAACTGTAAAAGGAGGTACTGGCTTGTTTATATCATCTGCAGAGGATGTGGAAATGTTGCATAATTTCAAATTTATTATACCTATACTGAACTGATATTATTAGATTGATATTCCTTTTAGATATATTACATATACTTTTACAGTAAGAGAATAACAATCCCTCAAATTAAACTCAGTGACTGTAAATAACCAACTAAACTAGAGCAATATAAATATTGGATAACAAATGTCATATCACTTTATATTTACAAATAACTTTGAACAATAAAACAGACACATTTTTACCTGATAATGAAAAACTGTGTTATGCTACCAATAACAATCCATAAAATAATGCCAAACAGAACAACAGAAGTTGGATATGCTTTTCTTAATTGACCTTGTTCAAAAGGTTGATTATGAGCCTTGTAATGCATATTGGCATAATATTCTTCTTGTCTGAAAAGAAAAACAAAGCAAAATAAAAATTGCAAATTCTGAACATTTAATTAAATTTAATTTACTTTTATGGACACCATCGGTAGTTGGAGATTTTCAGTTTGTGTGAAAGACATGAAACACTGAAAAATTAACCTGTAAAGTTGAGTCATTCCTATCAATTCACTGTAAGAAGAGTATCAGGACAATTTGACAATAAATTAACTTTGAATAATATCAATTTTTGAAAATTACATTTTCAAGAAACCCAATTTGTTGAATATGATTTTTTTTTGTGATAATTGAGAATTCCACATATTAAGGTTTATGGGTTATTTATAGGAATCGTAAGAATTACTACATTTTGACTATTTTTTTAGTTAATGACCTTATTATTGTTCAAATGTGTGTACCAGTCTTGATTAATTGGCAGTCAAATCAAGCGATAATGCTAAAATAAATTAAACATTCGATGTAAATAATATATTGCTTCTCTGAGATAAACAAAATATACCCTAAAATTGAGCTAAAAGCCTTTGTGTGTAATAACAAATTGTTTATTAATATTGACAACAAACAGATACACACTAGTAAACAGAATTAACAAACCTTTGATTGTAATAACGATGAGGAGGCACTCCTGGACTTTGTACTCCATATTTCGAAACCACTAAACTATTGTCATAATCTAATCGTGAATTATCCTGACTTAAAACCTGATACGCTTCGTTTAATCTCACAAACTTCTCATGAGTCTTTGGATCGTTTTTATTTATATCGGGATGGACCTTAAAAAGAGTACAATAAGTATGTATACATATATCAATACAATAAGTGTGTATACATGTACATCAATACAATAAGTGAATATATCAATACAATAAGTGTGTACATGTACATCAATACAATAAGCGAGTATATCAATACAATAAGTGTGTACATCAATACAATAAGTGTGTATATCAATACAATAATTGATTCCATCAATACAATAAGTGTGTACATCAATACAAAAAGTGATTCCATCAATACAATAAGTGTGTACATCAATACAATAAGTGTGAATTTAGGTAACATCATTCAGTTGAAGTGTTGGGGTACCAGGCCAGGATACTCATTGTGAAGTAGGAATTTGCTTATTATAGTAATATTACCTTCTTTGACTGTTGTATAAAAGCTGTTTTAATGTCATCAGCGGTGGCATTTTTATTAACGCCTAGAACTTGATAATGTGTTCTACTACAATAGCTACAAATAAATCAAAAAAATATTATTTATGCAAACCAAAAATCATCAATCTGATTAAAACACAGATCCTATTTCGTTTCGTTTTTTATAGTTCAAAATTTCGTTTTACTTGTCTTTACTACACTAGGATCTTGAAGAGTTGTTATCATTGACATGTTCTGGATGATGTAAGGGATTAGCCAATGAAGCGGTCTGTTACGGCGAGCTCTAGGTGCATTTTGCACGGAACTGTGGGTAATCTATTAGAAACATCAATGCTGATTGGTTAATCAAATGTCTGACGTCATAGGGTCTAAGTCGGTCTTTTGATCCCTGACGTGACCAATTGCTACAACTTGTCAGATCTTCATGTAGTGTAGGCCATCGAAAGTATAAAAAAAAAACGAAACAAAATAAAGATCTGTATATTAATCAGATTGTAAAATCCTCTAATTTTTATTGATATCATTTTCTAGCTATTTCAGGGTAAACACACAATTTGATCAAATCATACTACTTATAAAAGACTGCAACTCAGTCATTTAAGTTGTAACAGAAAACTGATTGGATACTGTGCCTTTTGTAAAATGGGTTATGTGAAGAAATATTTAATTCAAACAGCTTAGCACACTTTTACACATATTGGTAATATTATTGGATGACACTTGTAAACAAGTCTCTTAATCACACAATCTAAAAATCTAGACACAATGACAGGGAGCTCTTATAAGCTCATAGTAACATGTATGAATTCCGTACAGCTACCTACCACAACATTACCTACAAACAACTTAAATTTAGCTTATAATCCGACAAACAAGCAGAAGATCTCACCGTCTGGCAGCATGTATAATGTATGGTGTTAGATATCGGAGTCTCTTTTCAAAACTGACAGCGCTGAAAACTTTCATTTTGGTTACAGTATTAACCAAATGGCTTATTCAATGTTTAAAATCATCTTTCCTTTCTATATCCATTAAACTAAAATATTCAAAACAGAATTAGACATAAGAGGGAACAATTGTCTCTTTATTTGACTGTGGCATTATAGAACAGTGATCATCTCCATAAGAGACGGTGGCATTTGAAAAGAAAGAGGGTTTAACCTCCTACTTTGCTGCACCTGATGAGGACAGTAATATGCTAAGCAGTAGTGTGTTATGAGGGAAATTTTGTCTGGACAGCACCATTTTTGACCACTCTTCATTGAACTGGCTGCCAAGCCTTCTTCTAAGTGTACACCAAAGTGTAGGTGTACACAGGACCTTGGCACACACGAATTAGGCCTTCTTTCCTGCACAATTTACATGGGGAAAACAAGTGTAAGCATGGTGTTGCAAGTATAGACAGAGACATTGTCATTTTATGTAAATATCATGAACATTTTTGTAACCTAACCTAAGCTTATTTTTCTGGTAGGCCTACATGTATAATAATATTAGGCATAGTCCTAGAGCAGTAGGGGTTAATAAGATAATGAAAATGCTTCTCAAATTTAGCATAGAATCTATAATTTGAACATATCCGTTGTAAGTTGTAACTGCATTTTATGCGTAGACCCCATAACGTGCAAGCTAATGAATGTGTCTCTGGTTACGGTACGCTACAGTTACATCTTAATATGGCGATCATGTTTGATCCGACTCCCTTTTCTATTTCCATGATCACTTTTACATTTTATGATTTTAGGGTTAGGTATTTAAGATTAAAACCTATAAATTCAGGGTTACGGGTTGAAGATTAAAACCAATGAGTAAGACAAAATCTTCAACAATGAAATATTGAGACACATCAAACATAAATACCCTTAATTATCATTATTATGTAATGTAGGCCTAGAAGGGCAGTTTGTTTACTTTTTTGTTGATGTTCCAAGACTAAATAAATGTTGTTTTTTAGTCCATGATACTTTTGTGAAAATAACAGACTCTTTCAAACCACCAGTGTATACAAAGACTTAAATAACTTTTAATAAACTGTGGCTATGTGTTTATTTATCCCACAAAAACAGCAAATAAGACATAGCGGTCAAAAACCTCCAATTACCCCTAAGTACCACTAGAATTTCCAGTCAACAACCTCGGTCGATGGTTGGGCTAAAATTTGGGAATAGTTTGTTTGACTGAAATAAAAAACGCACTAACTCAAATATGATTACATCGTTTTTTGTCTATTTTGATTATTTTCCCCCAAGTTCAAATCTGACAGTTGAAGTCACAACTTTATTGAGATTTTCCTTCCAATAGCAATCCCCTAAACAACGTGTTGACCTCTCTTTGCGAGTAAGGTCGTCATCTAGGGTTAAGGGTCAACGACTGACGTCATCAACTGAAAACAATGGCCGTACTAATATAAACAACTTGAATTAAGTCTGTGTCCGATGCATAAAACTGATGACAGCATAGTATCTAGTCGCTTCGGAATAAAAACAACCGTGTGGAGGGATTTATAGAGGAGTAGGCTACATGTTGTTATCTTAGTTACTGCCACCACTGCTTAATAAAGTCAAGCTTTACGTTTTTCCTCGTCATATTGAGCGACTGGATTAATCGACTGGATTATTCGACTGAATTATCTGCTATGATTTTTTTTTCGACCGGATTATTTGACTGTTTTTTCGGCTATCCCCGGCCCTAAATACCTATTTATCAGACTACTTTTGCCCCATAAATTGAACTTGAAACTATTTGGCAGGGGAGGGAGGTGCAAGCCCCCGGCTCTTTTACAGCTATGGCTATGGGTATGACTGAACTACTCGGTATTATCTTAGTTCACTGCAATTCCTGCTTATTATTGAACGGCTGTTTTTAACTTCTCATCATATAACTGTCAAAAGCACATTTTGTCAACTTGATCTGGTATGAAGACCCAACTTGATCTGGGATGTGGATTTATCGACAGTGATATTCGTCTAGTTTTATTGACTGAGATATTCGACTTGTTTTATTGACTGTGATATTCGACTGGTTTTATCATGGTATTATAAGGTCCATGGTTTTATCGACTGAGGTATTGGACTTATTTTATCGACTGAGATATTCGACTTATTTTATCGGACTGGTTTTATCGACTGAATTATTTGACTCGTTTTATTGACTGAGATATTTGACTGGCTTTATCGTCTGGATGAGGCCACAATAAAATAGTTTTATTGACTGGGATATTTGACTTTTTTCGACAATAAAATCAGTCAAATAATTCAGTTGACAAAACCAGTCGAATAATTCAGTCAACAAAACCAGTCAAATAATCCAGTTGAAAAAAAACAGTCAAATAATCTAGTCAACAAAACCAGTTGAATAATCCTGGCGAAAAAACAATCAAATATCCCAGTCGATAAAACCAGTCGCTCAATATTAAGTACCGGTGGCAGTGAGCTAAGGTAATATAGAATAGCCCAATCATGGTCGTAGCCAGGGGCTTCACCCCCCGCCCCTCCCAACTACTTTAAAGTCAGATTTTTCGGGCAAAAGTCTTATGATCTAGGTATTTAGTTGATACATGTACTAAACGGAGAGTAATGTTTTTGGCCCGTCATCTAAGTGAGTAGAATCCTACATAGGCCTGTAGTCAGGGGCTGGGGGTATTGGACGAGTCAGGGTTTTTTTTGTGACCTCGTCAAGTTGAATATTTCAGTGTATATTTCAGTCGAAAAAAAGCAGTCGCTTGACTTGATGGTGGAGGACCATACTTTATGAATCACTAATTGGAGTGAACTAAGATAACAATAAGTAGCCTGGAGCCACGGTGGCTAAGTGAGTAAGACACTGGCTCGCTAGCCTGGAGGTTTGTTCCTGGTATTGGCCGAAAAAGTTCCTCAGGATTTTCCGGGTGGTTTCCCCCTGTCAGTGGGGCAGTCGTTTGGATGGGATGAAAAACCAAGGTCCCATGTACACATTGGCATGCATGTAAAAGATCCCCTGTATGGCATATGCCTGACTTTATTAGCTCAGTCGGTGCACAACAGTAGGACGTTAAAGCCCATTTTATTTCATTGAGTAGCCCTTTCATGCTCATAACACGGTTCCACTTTCAGGGAATGTATCTGGTCGAGTGTGTTCTCTAAGTATCGGAAATGAATACAGATTTTTCGAATAGATCTTCAACACTTTATTTCAAGAGCAAATAAATAACAGCAACAAGTAAACAACTTATATCTTCCTATAAATTGGTCCTCCAACTGGTACATAGGTTCCCTCAGCTGGTCTCTCCAACTATAATTCATCTTACATACATTTTTCTTTTTATATAAATTAGTTACTATGAAAGTATTGACATAAACATATAATTATTGAAGGATTAAGTCATTTAAACAATAGTAAAAGAAACTTAACAGACCACCCACTTTAGTTATTTAAATCGACTGACAAATTAATTGCTGTCTGCTTCTAATGACTAACCAAGTGAACCAAGATCAATAAGTAGCCTGGAACAACAGTGGCTAAGTGAGTAAGGCGCTGGTTCGCTAGCCTGGAGGTCGCGGGTTCGTTCTCGGTATTGGAGGAGACAGTTCCTCAGGATTTTATCCAGGTGGTTTCCCCTTGTCCGTAGGGCAGGACGGAGGGTGTGACAAAAACTACAGCTGTCTAGTCTTTCGGGTGGCATGAAAAACCAAGGTCCCATGTACACATTGGCGTGCATGTAAAAGATCCCTTGGCAGTTGGAATTCAATATATAAGAGTAGGCTGTAGCGCTACTGTCGGGGCAAAATTTCCCTTGTAGCACACTGTATGGCATATGCCCATCTTCATTAGCCTAGTCGGTGCACAACAGAAGGATGTTAAACCCCATTTCACTTCATTATGTAGCGGGAGTGATTAAGTGGGTAAGACGCCGGCTCGCTAGTCTGGAGGTTACATGTAGGTGTTTGATCCCTGCATTGCCCGAAAGAGTTCATCCAGATTGTCCGGTGTGATTCCCCTTTGTCAGTGATGCAGGACAGAGGGCCTGACAAGGTTAGCTGTGTAGTCATTCGGATGGGATGACAAAACGAGGTCCTGTGTACACATTGGAATAAACCTAAAAGATTCCTTGACAGGTGGAATTCGATATAAGAGTAGGCTGTAGTGCACTGTCCAGACAAAATTTCCCTCATGGCACACTGTATGGCGTATGCCCGTCTTCATTAGCCCAACAGTAGGACGTTAAACTCCATTTCATTTCATATTATTAAGTAGCCCTTTCATGCTCATAACATAGTTCGACTTTCAGGGAATGTATCGCGTGGAGTGTGTTCTCTAAGTATTGGAAATGACTACAGATTCTTTGAATAGATCTTCAACACTTTATTTCAGGAGCAAATAAATAACAGCAACAAGTAAACAACTTATAACTTATAACTTCCTATAAATCAGTCCTGCAACTAAGTTGGTCTCTCCAACTACTGTATAATTCATCCTACATACACTTGTCTTTTTATATAAATTAGTTACTATGAAAGTGTTGAAATAAGCATATAATTATTGAAGGATTAAGTCTTAAGCCATTTAAAACAATAGTTAAAGAAACTGAAGAGATCAAACACTCTAGTTGCCAGCCTGTCATAATTTATATGGAGTGACAAATTAATTGTTGTCTGCTTCTAATGACTAACCAAGCATTAATGAATGTTAAAATATAGATTTGAAATTAAAAATAGAATTAAACAATAATAAAATAACATATGACCTATACATTAGTCATGTGTATCCACCTTAAAATTATTTCAAACAAAAACATGACCCCATGTTTTAATCATTAATACAATCAAAATCCTTATAATCTATAACTATTTTCACGATAATAATTTCTATTCCTGTACAAAGGATTCCTGCTGTAAGGCCTAACATGTCTAAATCTGTGATCTTGAGTCTTGACGGCTGGTGCATTTGGCACTAAAACTTGAAACATCTCGCATGGCTGCAACCTTTATCATGGCAATTGGCAGGATGACACCATTAACACAAGGTTATTAAAAAAAGATACATCGTTAGTATCCAGAACATTTTGAACACCCGCATCCTTTTTACTGGAGGTCACAGAAACCTGTACTTTTTGGGCACCCTTTGCAAAAAATTCCAGCTGTCGCTGTCTATCCCTTTGTATTTGGACAAAAGAACGATATTTCTTTTCCGGACTGGGTAATTAATTTTCTGAGAAGTCCCTTTTAAAGCCCATTTAAACCCCTGTTTGAGACTCCAAGACACTGATAGTTGATCAAGATTTCTTATTGCTGCTACTGCTGCTGAAGGAAGAATAAAGTTGATATCCATGCCTTCTTCTTCAATATATTATGTACAATTTGACTAGCAGGGAATGTAGCTCTTCGGCGTGTGTTCTGTTAGGATCAGAAATGAATACAGATTCTTGGACTGGATCTTCAACACTTTATTTCAGGAGCAAATAGTGCCTACATAACAGCAACAATTAAACAACTTATAACTTCCTATAAATCGGATCCCCAATTACATGTAGTATATAGGTTTCCTAGGTCTCTCCAAGTAATGATTCATCTTACATAAATCTGACATTTTAACGTGGCCTCGTCCAGACGATAAAATCCCACACATATCTCAGTCGATAAAATCAGTCAAATACTTCAGTCGATGAAACCAGTCGGAAAAACAGCCCATTGAGTAGCTCAATGTTCGTTGCCATAGCTGTAGGAGCCGAGGGCTTGGGCGGGGTTTGGTCCTCACCCGTCGCAGGAGATAATTGTACTTAAGTAGATACTAATATTGTCGGCCCCCACCTCGAAAAGAATAGTCCCTGTATATGACCATAGAAACGGGGTGTTGGTGGATTGGGAGGGGCCCTGTGCGTGGGAGCGAAAATACTAGTATCTAAAGTACATGTATCACTTAAGACTTGAAACTAGTTGGGAAGCCCCCCGGCCCCTACCCAATGCCCCCGGATCCTTCAGTTATGGCTACGAGCATGATTTGCTAATGAAGACGGGCCTACGCCATACACTGAGCTATGAGGGAAATTTTGCCCGGACAGCGGCACTACGGCCTACTCTTATATCGAATTCCATC